AAGAAAATTACCCAAGAACTACACAGGTGGCGGGACCTGCCGCTGTCTTTATTAGGCAGATGGTGAGGAGATTAAGGGGGGATATGATTTCCATGTACAAAATGTTCAATGGTGGTAACAACATTAGCGATAAACTGTTTAAAATTAACTCCATTACAAAAACTAGAGGCCATCACCTAAAATTTGTCGAAAAAAAATTCCAGCACAAGAGGCGAAGGGGGTTTTTCACAGTAAGATCAGTTAGGGTCTGGAACTCACTGCCACAGGAGGTGATTTCAGCAAAGAATGTGGAATTGTTCAATAAACTTTTGGACGATTTCTTAAGGGACCTGAATATACAGGGGTACAGGTACTCCTAGAATGATATCCTAATAGGTTGGACTTGATGGACTAATGTCTTTATTCAACCTCAAAAACTATGTAACTATGTAACTATGCTTTGGGAGGGCTATTCCTTTCTGGGGAACTCTGTCAAGCAAAAGTGCATTAGACATGTATGGTTCCTTTAGTTCCGAATCCAAATTCAGAATAATTTCTACATATTTGGACATTCAAATGCATTCGAATTTCTGAATGAAAGAAATAACGTATCCGAATTTTGATAACGAAAATTTTGTATGCATCTGAAATGTTTTCCGAATGCCATTCAAAATGAATAGAAAGAAAGCTCTATCTGTCCCCAAAAAATGGTATAAAATTAATTTCATGATAAATGTAAATGTCAAAGTACCGCAGCGCTGAACACTGAAAAATGGCCTGGACAGAAAGGGGGTGTAAACACCTGGTCAGCAAGTGGTTAAATAAAATTTGACAAACATTTTTTGCCTTAATAAATGGTAAACAGTCAAAATGATAAAAATAAACATATTTTGGTAATGTTATTTGATTTATATGATTTTATGGTAATTAGTAATTCTTTGCATTTTGAACACTAACAGATTTATTTAAAATGTAATTGTTCTGTGCTAAACAGTAGTTTGTAGAAATCCTCAGGGCTTGTTCACACGCTCTCCAGTGCGTTCCAGCACGGTTAGTGGCCAGAATGCACTAGATCGCATAAGTAAGCCACCTTGCGTTCTGGGATGGGAGGGGGTGTGGTGGTGCCATTCAAGTCAATGGCACTGCAGCTGCGCCTTCCGCCCCGCAGTGCGATTGCCGCATAGCACAGCAATGCCCGCAGTGCGATCGCAAAAAATATTGCATGCATGTCCCTTTTAATTAATTAGCAAAATGTTTTACCTAAAATGCTACAGTGTTGTTTATGTTGATTGATATTTTTAATATATAAAGAATGCTCTTCAAATCTTCCCAAAAGAATAATGGCTAAGTAAAAATATGCCTCGCCCTTGCTAAATGGCCCAATCATTGCCCACAGGTTGCATTGTGCTGCCTGATTAGAACAGGATTATGGCCAGGCCAATAAATGTTTTGCTTCCGATTATAAAAATACCACTAGATCTATGACAAACAGGGATGGCCACCATCTGTGTTAAGCTGGCCATACACCTTACAACCATCGCACGACTTTCGTTGTGCGATGGTTGTAAGGTAATTAAAATTTCGTATGACCTGCCCATCTTGGACAGGCAGATCGTACTTGCGATCATCGCAAACCCTCCCCGCTGAGTGGAGGGCTTGCCGAGGGATTGCAATGCTGAGCGGGCAGTGTGAGGCTTTTGTCTTCCAAGCATGCTACCAAAATCGTATGATTTTGGCGGGTTTTCCAGCGTGCTCGGAAGACAAAAGTCGTGTGACCGTACAGTAGATGCGGTCGCACGCTGCCCATACACCTGCCGATTATGGTACGATCGCGGGATCACCCGCGATTATCGTACGATAATCGGCAGGTGTATGGGCACCTTTAGTTGAGAATTTTTTGCAGAGCCTGTTTGCTCTTTAAATTACCATGAAGAGTAAACTTGTGAAGGGGGATTTTTTTTTCTAACAGAGCAAGTGCCTCAAAACCCTTTGTTTACCTTGGTTGACCTTTGAGACCATGATTAAAGGCATTACCTGTGATGCCATCTGCTGCCAAAATTTAGTATTTCTGATCCTCTGACTAAATTTTTTTAAACTTTATAAATGTTTTATGAGTGTTTATTGTGACACACTTCAAAAAGTGAGTGTAAAAACAGAAGGATGAAAATCTAACCAATTGATGAATATCAAGGGCCTTGCACGCTACTATAGAAAAAACTCAAGCATCTGTCTGAAAAACAGGAACAAGACATTTAACCCTTTCTAGAGATGTTTTTTTTGTACACATGATAAAAGGCCTGAAGATTACTAACAAGCTCTCAAAATTATATATTTTCTGAAAGCAGAGAGCATGAAGAATAAAATGTCTGTAGTTGCAATTTTTTTATGACACACGATATTAGCACAACAATTTATTCACTGAAAAATATGGTAAAGTTAATTTTATTGCACACAAGCACAATATATTACGCATTTTTGTTTTGGTACAATTAAAAAAAACAAGGTTGCATTCAGTAAATAGATACAAAATATGTCAAGCCTTAAAAACATGCGTATGGCATCAACATACCAAGACCTTTTGTACAATTTCATGCTCCCAACTTTGTGGGAACAGTTTCTAGATGGCCCCTTCCTGTTCCAACATGACTGCACACCAGGGCACAAAGCAAGGTCCATAAATACATGAATGAGCGAGTTTGGGGTGGAGGAACTTGGCTGGCCTGCACAGAGTCCTGACCTCAACCCAATAGAACACCTTTGGGATGAATGAGAGCGGAGACTGCGAACGAGGCCTTCTTGTCCAACATCAGTACCTGACCTCACAAATGTGCTTCTGGAAGAATGGTCAAACATTCCCATAGACACACTCCTAGACCTTGTGGACACCTTCCCAGAAGAGTTGAAGATGATATTGCTGCAAAGGGTGCGCCAACTCCACATTGAACCCTACGGTACAGTATATGTGTTGCAATGCAGGTCAAATGCAGTGCTTTTCTTGTCAAACACAGCTGTGTTTGACAAGAAAAGGCAGCTGCACGTGTTTGAATGGAAAATGCAGTGCTTGAGAAAAATGCAAATCGACATAAACCCTAAAACAATATGTTAAATTCAGAAATTTAACACACCAGTATAAGGTTCATTTTAAGCATTACAGTTATATGGCTGAAAAATATATTTATCCTTGTGTAAAACAAGAACTGTTCTTTTGTTATATTAGGCCTAATGTATTCAAATGTTTTCCAGTCATAAAATACAGCAATTTTTTTTTCAACTGCCAAAAGTAACACAAAAAAAGCTGTCTGATGCCAGCATTATAAATAGTAGATGCTGAGCTACAGCTCACAAATATTATTGTTTTGGCCATCAAACAGTCAGATGTGATTACAGAGTATTTAAAGTTACATTTAAAAAAAAACATTTTTCAATAGAGGGCTGACCCCGAACCCCAGATATGAATGGTCAACCTCTGTTTGTCCTAGTGACCACTGTTATTGGGAGTCAAAGTGAGGAGTTGTCATGAGAATAGGAATAGAGGGAAGATCCACAGGTGTTGACAGTGACAACTAAAAGGGCATGTACCTTACTTTGGAGAGAGTTCATTTCACTTCCTGCTGGGTCTACAGGAGAGTGTAGGAAAAACTGCCCAATGAGTCCCCAACATGTCAAAAAACTGACATGTATTGTTCCTACTCCAAAATGAAGAAAACAAAATGGCTTTAGATATACATTAAACTTAAACTTGTTGTACATTTGCAGTTGACATTTCTGTCACACATGCTCAACATACTCACGCTCATAAAATCTTTCCTTTCCACCGGATGAGGCCCCTTTCACACTGTCCGATCAGGAGGGGATCTGTGCATGGATCCCCCCTCCTGATGGCAGTGGTCACCGCTGTGACATCCGTGTCTGTCCAGTTTTTCCCCCAACTTGCGATAAAGACTGAAATGATTGGACCCCATGTTGTTCTATGGTAAATACACCTCAGATTACCCTTGATCGGACATAAATAGGTTCAGCAAAACCGAACACTGTTCCGTTTGTTTTTCCAGACCTGGCCGGAGCCCATCTGTTTAGATCCAGTTGCCCATAGATTTACTTTGGGTATTCAGTCAGGTTCGCCTGAAAAACTGACAGGCATACCGGATGGGACCGCCTGTCTGAAAAAGGACCTAAACAGTTACTCTTATAGGCCAGACACAGCTGTTGCTGGGTGCTTGAAGGTAGTTTAAATCTCTGGGGGGGAAACACTACCCTTGCAGTGGGGCTACCTAGAATTAATAAAC